AAGAGGGAAACGGGGGCGAAGGGCTCTTGCATCCCCCCGCCCAAAAAATAAATAAGAGAGAGAGAGAGAGAAGGGAAAGGGAAAGAGAATAAAAAAGGAAAGGAAGAAGAAAAGGAAGAAAAGAGGGGCTCTTGCCTCCTCCCCCCTCCCGCGCCAACAAATAAATAGGAGAGAGAGAGAGAGAGAGAGAGAAGGGAAAGGGAAAGGGAAAGAAAATATAAAAGGAAAGAAAGAAGAAGAAGACGGAAAGAGGGAAACGGGGGAAGGGCGAAAGGCTCTTACCTCCCCCTCCCCCCTCCCGCCATAAAGGGAAAGAGAAGGGAGAGGGAAAGAAAATATAAAAGGAAAGAAAGAAGAGGAAAAAGAATAAGAAAAGAGGGAAACAGGGGCGAAGGGCTCTTGCCTCCTTTCTTTTCTTTCTTTTCCTTTCTTTCCTATTCTCCCTCTTTTTCGTTTTTCTCTTTCTTTCTTCTCTTTCCCTTTCCTTCTCTCTCTCTCTCTTATTTATTTTTGGCGGGGGGCGGGGGGACGAGGCAAAAGCCCTTTGCCCCCGTTTCCCTCTTTTCTTCTTCTTCCTCTTCTTTCTTTCCTTTTATCTTCTCTTTCCCTTTCCCTTTCCCTTCTCTCTCTCTCTCTGATTTATTTTTTGGCGGGGGGGAGGGGGGGCAAGAGTCCTTCGCCCTTCCCCCGTTTTCCTCTTTTCTTCTTCTTCCTCTTCTTTCTTTCCTTTTATCTTCTCTTTCCCTTTCCCTTTCCCTTCTCTCTCTCTCTCTGATTTCTTTTTTGGCGGGGAGGGGGGGGGGAGTGAGGAGGAGGCAAGAGTCCTTCGCCCGCCCCCCCCCCCCCCTCCGTTTCCCTCTTTTCTTCTTATTATTCTTTCTTTCCTTTTATCTTCTCTTTCCCTTTCCCTTTTTTCCTTCTCTCTGTCTCCCCCAGCTAGGGCTGGTTTTGTTTACGAAGCGCCCGTCAGGAGAGTACACGATAGAGTACACGATAAAATTGACGATATCGTGAACTTTATATCGTGAACTTTTCACGATAAAATTCACGATATCGTCAATTTCATCGTGAAAAGTTCACGATAAAGTTCACGATATCGTCAATTTCGTGAATTTCTTCGTGAAAAATATGCGATAAAATTGACGATATCGTGAATTTTATCGCATATTTTTCACGATTTAGTCTATTCGCGATGTCCCTTCAGACCCGATTATTCAATTCCAATTCAATTTCAATTTATTTTCCATTTAAAAAAAAAGAACAAATATAACATAGTATTGACACATTGTATTAAAATAACAATAGAAACATAAACATGGAGGGATACCCTTAATAAACAGGTTGCTTGTAGGCAGGGCCCCGGTATACAATATAAAATTCACATTTTTGTTAAGGAAATATCTAAACATTTGAGAAAATTATAAAACAGCAAATTAAATATGAATTAGGAAACTGTGATCATCTTAACAGCTACTATAAATAAACAGATACAGGTACACGTCCACACACAGACATACAAACACCCTAGCATACACACACAATAAGATAGATGAGATAGAGTAAAATATCATAGGGAAGGAATACATAGAGAGAAGGAGAAAGAGAAAGAGAAAGAGAGAGAGAGGGGGGGTGGGAGTCAGTATTACAGAAAGAAAATAATTAGAATGAGTAGGCATGGTGAAAAGAAAATAGAAAGAGAAAATTGTAGGAGCGGAGAGAGCTCATGAAATAGGAGAAGAAAATTCGAATTAATGAATACATTTTATATATCTACTTAGCACGTATTAATATTGGTGAGATATAGTCTTTTTATATAGAGAATTTGAATTTTGAAATAGTTGAGCTTTGCTGAATACTGTTATCAAGGCTGTCCATAATTTAATATATTTTACACGGAATGAGTTTGAGGCCATGGAAGTGGAAACCTTGGGTTGATGAAATATTTTACATTGACGAGTGTTGTAATTATGTACAGACGAATTAAGGGTGAACATATTTTCAAATATTTCTGGTAAAAATCCAGACTGATATTTATACATAAAAATAAGAGAGCTCATAGAAATTAATTCAGAGATTGGTAAAATATTCATTTTCTTAAATAATGGCATACTCGGACAGTAATATAGGGATGATGTAATACGTCTAATTGCTTTTTTTCTGAAGTATTATTAATCTAGAAAGATGGCTTTTGAAAGTATGCCCCCATACTGAGTTACAGTATGTTAGGTGAGGCAAGATTAAACTATAATACAAAGTGACGAGTATGTTTTGTGGTAATATAAATTTGAGCCTTGATATGATTCTTGATATTTTAGTACAGATACTACTAATATGCGGTTTCCAAGAGAGAAATTCGTTGACTGTAATACCTAAAAATTGAACATTATCCACACGTGATATATCATGACCACCAATAGTAAAATTATTAAGATCATTCGGGACCCTCCTGTTCCTCGTTCTGAAAATCATAAACTTTGTTTTGTCAAAATTCAATGAGAGCTTGTTGCAACAGGACCAATTATATAAATTATTAACTTCTTTATTAGTAATGGACATTAAATTATAGATATTCTTGTGAGAAGTTAAGATGCACGTGTGATCAGCAAATAATGAATAGCGAAATAATTTGGAATATTGTGTTATATCAGTTATATAAACAAGGAACAGGAGGGGCCCAAGTACAGAGCATTGCGGAATTCCATATTTAATCGAAGTAAGCCCTCAAGTCGGATGCACTTTGCATACATTAATTGTTGCTCGATCGAAAAGAAATATTTGGCTTGTATGACCTAACAACACGAAATTATATGCAATTTTCTTTGTGACTATTGAAATACGATAATTCGTAACCAGATGAATTAACAATAATCGCAATAGAGACTAATACATTTAATTTGATTACCATGGAAAAAGTAGGCCTACCTATTCTATCCACATAACAAGAAATAGACAAGCGTGTTGCCTGTTATCGAATTAATCGTCATACCTACAGTTTAAAATATGATTACAACTTAACATTGGTGAAAGAGCGATGACTGGCGGTGAAGCAGTGTCATTACTTAGAAGTGAGTGCTACTTCAGTTTATTATTATCTTTATTTTTTCTCTTTCCTTTTGTCTTCATTAGTCATATTCACATTGAGGATGGTAATGCAGATGATTTTCCAGATCGGACAACCCCAGCCCCCAGATCGTCACCACTTCATGAACTAACTTTGATTGTTATTTACACGGCTGATTAAACGGGTCACCATGTTATCAGTGATGACTTGTCGACATTCCGCCCTAAAACTCTTGTGGAACGCAAACGAAATCGCAAAGTGGCAGATTCTGTTGAGGGAGCATGCACGGCCCATGATCTTGACAAACGTGGTAGCAGATCGGTTGAAACCTGGCTTGGTGCCCATGATCAAGATACAAATATTGGCAAGCCACATCACCAAGAAGATTGCGATCATGGTGAGGTGCACTTTTGTGGCCTTGTGTTTGGCCCGGTGCCCAATAGGGGCACAAGGGTTTACTTGGCGATGAGCTCCGGTGGCTGACTGTTGCGAGGAGGACATTTGGGAGATGACTTCAACCTGGGTACAAATGCTAACATCCTGCGAGTTTAGAGGTGAAGGCCCACTGACCTGGCTCAGTGGTGACACCTTTGCTGATGTTATCCTTGACGTACTTGGAATATCCAGTGAGTGGCGTTCAACGGATACCTTCGTCCTAAAGGGTTTCGTGGTTTCCCTGTGCACGCCGCGTCCTGGACGCGTCGATGGTGCCTTTGGCAGCTCCCTGCCCACGTTGATTCTTGGCGCCGGCATCCTCGCTCCAACTTGTCCAAGCCGTCTTATCCTTCGCAGGACCAAAGCGCTCATCACCAGCGTGAAGATGGCAGTCAGGACAGTGATGACGGCTAGAGAATAGACATATATTGTGGCTGACCATTGTAACCTACTGGGTACGTTACAAAAGTAGCGACCTGGCGTATAGTCAACCAGTTCGAACATCGGAATAACAGGGGCACTTGTCGCAATTGAAAGTCCGAAGGCAGCAGCGGCTGATAGAGCAGAAGCCCGTTTTGAGAGCCAACGGTTGTGTGGCTTACACACGGCGACGTAGCGGTTAAAAGAGAGCAGAGCTGACAGAAAAATGGACGAATTCGGTTCAAGTAGAAAAGCAAAACCGTAATAAACGCAGAAGGCATCACTCTCCTCCTTCCCAAATGTGATGTAATAGTAGACGCGAAGGGGGCTGATTGAAAGACAAAGAAACAAGTCGATGATCGCGAACCAGATTACAAAAACTGAATATGATGTCCGCTTTCTTCGAAGATATACGGTGATCATGAGCAGATTTCCTGGGATACCGATGATGACGACGGCTGAATGCATGATAGTTGCAAGTAAAAAATATATCTCCATGATGGCAGGGTACTTCATACAGAATGATCGCAAAGAATAAATCGGTTCAGCGTTCAAAAAGCAAGTAGATAAAGATAATGTCCATATGGTACGAAATATCATGAAGATGGTGGCAACGGTGGGTGATGATTATGATGACGACTGAAATGATATTGGCGAAAGCGATGTCGCTGTTGACGAGTTGTCCATGATTTAAATTAACCACGCGCTAGAAATCCCGTCAGTAGTGGTAAATGATGATGATGATCACGATAGCGATGTTGATGCTGAAAATGATTTAAAAAAAAGAAATGACGAAAACGATTATGATGATGAGCTTGATGTTTTTGTTATCATTCAATTCTGTATTTGTATGTTTAAATTTTTTTTATGAAGAGTGTTGAATAAACTTTGAATTGAATTGAATAGCAGTGACAGTGATGATGAAAGTACTGTCAGCAACGATGTCTCTCAAAGAGACACCTGTTTGAGAATTTATACAACATTCATATGAAAGAATCTTACAGAAATTCTTACAGAAAAATGCAATTGTTGAAACAGTTTTTTCGTGTTCGAATTCAAATTATTATTCGACTTATCATTTGAATTATTGCTTGAATTGTTTCTGTGGATGAAAATGGTTGATGTCTATGGCGATGACAATGGTGATGATGGAGGTAGCGATGATGGTGAGGTAGAGGATGATGGTGATCAAAGTAAACTTTACTTTGGGATCATCTGCGAAGACTGTTAAGAGAATATAAATGTGAAATATGTGATCTCTACCAAAATAAATCAATAAATAAAATCAATCCTTACGCGACTCATCAACAGCTCGTGTTAGAAGCTCTACTTGTAATGATATGAGTCAACTAATTTGTTAAGAAATAAACAATGTTACAAGTATGGGAACGTCTTATTACAGAATGAAAGCGGAGTTACTTACTTTTAAACACAAAACCTCATGATGTTGTTCGATGTTCGTTTCAAACTTCTTACTCACTCGAATGCTAATGAGTGCTCAATGGTACGAAGAGACCTTACATTGTAGAAGCAAACAGCACAAACGGATGAAGATGACTTAGGCTATTTCATCTCGCGTACGTAAGAGCTAAGATTACTGATTATTGGGGAGAAATAAACCGAAGAACCAATCAAATCAGCTTCCATCCCACTTCAAGTGTTCTGCGACACGCGCCGAGTGCTCTTCACGGGGTTCAACGCAAACACACACGTGAGATACTGTCAGTCCATGTAAGAGAATAGAGAGTTAATTTTCAATTCAATTCAATTCAATTCATATATTTTCGGATCAATATATGTTTTCTCGATTATAAGATTGGTTCTTAAAGATAAAGTTGAATTCTGGTCATGCGATTGCATTGTGAAGGAAACAGTGTGGAATCGATCCGAAAAGGAATCATCAATATGATAAGAAATTTGGCCCAATATTGGCAAAGTTACAAGCACTGTACACAAAAAAGAGGTATAAAGGACTACACGAACATGTGGCGTAAAAATGGGTCCCGATTTATTATGCTGTTACATGCTATATTTAGAATATTAAGGCATTTGAAGAGTCATGCTTTTCAGGGAACATGTATAATCTGATGGTATTCCACACTTGCATAACAACAATGATAACGCTCACAAATAATTTGTCATCTCCCCCAGAACTCAACCTTCTCTATAAGGCTGATGGCCTTTATTAGCATGATTAGCTTTTGAGGATATTCGTGTGTTTGTGGGTGGATACATGCCCAGTCAATCGGATAATTACACACGTGTGTGTGTGTGGGGGGGGGGTATTCATTATTGTATGTGTATTGAAAATAATCAAACATTATGGACTCCATTTCAGTATATAATTCAATTTTTAAATTTGATTTCAATTTGTGTTTATTGAGTGTGTGTCTAACTCTTATCATTAAGAAGTAACTGCACTGAAAATATGTTTATCGACTATAGGACGTCATCTGCTTACGCAGTATTGGTCCTTGGTGTGATGTCATGAAAACATTGCTAAACTTTCTGGCGAAGCGATCTTTGAGATCCCGAGAGGTATTTTTATTCGCGTCATTTTTAAATTCATTTGTTGTATTATTATCTGTTAAGCAGTTGCCCTTAAACTCATACGATTATCAATATCATGTGTAAGCTTCCTGGTTTCTCGTGATACATTATGGGCCATATTCGAGATTTTCAATGAATGCCTACTTTAAGATTTACATCGGCAGATCCAGGGGGTGTGGGTGTACATTATGTAATGTCACACACACATATAACTTAAGTAAGCAACAAAAAAAATTGTGCGCAAAAAAAATAAAATTTGATAGCCTGTTTTGTTTTTGTTGTTGTTCAAATTAAGTGTGAGAGATAATCCCTAGCTATACTTCTCCAAATTGTAATGTCTTTTTATTGTTTCTCCTTATAATTTTCACAGAATTATATAAAAACATGTTCACTTTTCTAGCTTTTGTACGAGTGTTTTAAGCACTTGACTCGATATGCAAAGGTCGTGGGTCCGATCTCCGACACGGCACTTATGTTCTTTGGCAAGGCATTAATCTACATTTCCCCTCCATACTCAGGAGAGAAATGGGGAGCTGGTAAGGGGACGAATTGTGTTAGTAATTGCCATAAGCCCTCACGATGACCATATGGTAAGAATATACCCCAGTGGAAATGGTGCACATTGTGCGTGAATGAATCAGATGACTGGGGTAACAATATCTTTACAGTGCTTAGAGGCGGTTTTTCTTATTAAGCCCTATATAAATCCAAATTATCATTATCATAATTTCATTTTTATCCACTTTAGATTTTTCTAGTGCACTCTGTTTTCAAATCGATTAGTTTTATTAACGCAATTGAAAAAGCAAAACATGGCATGCCCTAAAGTGTGTGTGCGTGCAATTAAAGGGATTGTGTATCTTTGCCTCAGATTCTAAACAAAATCCTGGATTTAGCTCATGCTGCAAGCACAATTATAAACCTTTAGGTCAGTCAGGAATCCCATGACTTTTACCAGCCGATCGTCTGTCTGGTTATCAAGATATTTATGATTGGAAATCTAAATTTCTAACAAAAAACGTTTTCCTAATGATTTTTATAACACTACAGTCTTTTGGGGAAAACGACTATGGTAAAACCGGTCACTCAAAGATTTTTACTATTTTGAGGCACTTCATGATCATTTTAAATTTTTGAAGGGTTTTTTACGGCTTCAATATTACACCATATCACAGACACTGATAACACGTAGGTCCATGCATCTCAGATTTAAAATTGTTAAACGATGTCTTTAAGGTTATTCAATCGAAAGTATTGGTGTTGTGTTTCTCAAGCATTCATTAGTGTTATAAGTGATCGAGAGGTCACAATGCACTTAAAGAAATTGATCCAAACCAAACTGTTTGTATCTAAACTGGACATTTTTAATGGCGTATACGAGACTGATAAAAAGCGGGGCTAGGAGGATTGAAGACACAATGCCACTGAAATTGTTTTTAACTTCACATTTAATTATTTATGTTAGAGGGAGGAGTTATTCCCAGTGCCTCCATCAAAACCCGATCTAGCATTTATCAAGCACATACAAATCAATTTCTGTTTCGCTTGTTAGAAATAATTTGAACCCTAAAAGAGTCGGATAGACTTTTACCAATATTGGGCGAAAAGGGAAACATTCACGTTTACTGTGTAAAAAAAAATGCAACCAATATTCAGTAAAATTCTATCCCATTATTATATTCCCCCACTATTATACATTGGATTAAATTTTACCAAGTAAACATTCATATTTCCTTTTTCAACCAACTCTTTTTAATACAGTGCAGAGCCGTGCTACCCCCTCTTTTGTCAGAATCCCGGATACACCCAACTAGACTCCAAACAATAATTTATCTAATTTTAATTGACAGTAATTCCATAATAAGTATCATCGTGATATCTCATATATCAAGACAATTGTTAATATGTCACAACGCTGTGTTTGTCACATCTCACTCAATCCGTATTTTTTTTCGGGACAAATTTAACGCTGTTAAAAATCCGCGTTTGCTTACTAAAATGTGGACATTGTGTATGCGTCTTCTGACTATCCAGTCGCTTCTAATGGGGATTGCCTCCGAAGGAGAGAATACTACAGAAGTAATCCCTGAGAGATATTCAAAATGTAAGATGATTTTCTTTATTTTCAAAGCCTATGTTTTCAATATTTCAAATCGCTTGAACACGTACTGTTTATCTTAGGTAGCACCATGAATAATTATAATATTGATTTTTTGTTTGTTTATGTGCTGAAGTCATTGCCATCGCTTGATTCGATTATTTCAGAGACCATGTCGTACAAAAATGGTAGAGTAATAATCTACGTTTCGTTGAAGGTGCGGGGAACTATGATGTTTTTAAGTCTTGTATTCATTTTAAGTTTGTAATATTTAGATTGCGTATCGAATGATATATATAATGCACTGAAGAGAAAATGTTTGTTAAAAATTGCCCAACACGATGGCATTCATGGTAATGGTAATTAATTATTAATTGAATATATTTCGGGCCGATATTTTTATGAACCGGTGATCCGTGATTTGGTAAAACACGACGAAATTCGGGTATGTGAAACTGTCCAAAAGTTGGTATGACACGTAAATGTATACATACATGTAAGTGTATAATTTGGGTAACTTTTACCCGATAATTTAGAGACACCATAAAGTTGGTTGAGCAACCTGAAGGCCTTAAAGAAAAGGTTGAGTTCTGGGGAGAGGTGAGCAAAAATTGTGAGCGTTTTCATTGTTATTGTTTCAAGCTTAGTTCGATGGCATTTAATGTCAGACGACAAAGGATAGTACAGTCAGATTGGTATAGTAACGAGAGAGTGGCTTTTAATACCGATGGGGCCATCTGGCGCCCTCTTTTGATTGAAGCTTTACATGTGTTCTTCTAAAATCTCAGAAACAATATTGACACATCCTCCCCTCTTTGAGCTTTGTGCCGGAGAATGTCTCAATTTTGGAGGTCAATATCAACCTGGTACCAAAACAGATAAAAGATTAAAGAATATCAAAAAATTGGTTTATGAGATCTTTTACAATCATATAACTGCACAAAATAATATTTCAAAGCAAAAATATCAGAGTCCTTTTGAGTTCTTGTGAGTCTTCATAGTGTCAGAAGATTTGGGATTGTGTTTAGAGTCCAGTTTCTTCAAATTTTAAAAAAAAGTTCAAATGTCCAAACAGAGTTAGATGAAGTGATGTCATTCACGTATCTCGCGAATGTTCTCTTTTTAAGTGTTCAAAATGTTACGAAATCTTTCATCTTATGCGGTTCTCGACGTTGTCTGTTTGAACGTCTCAGCGAGCTTGTGTTGTTCTCGTCAAACGTCTCAGATGTACCATCACCGCGAAACTTCACAGGACTTGTAGTGGTAGATTGACGCTGCTCTGTAGTCCTCACCTTGGGTTGGTTGTTGTCCTGGCATTCCCAGTTAAACATGTTGGGAATAGGATCAAGTGTATCTGACGTGGATGAGATCGCTCTGAGATGTTCTCTGTTTCTACGAAGTGTTTGACCATCACAGCGAACTTCATATGATCGATCGTCTATTTTCTTCAGGATCACCGCTTTCTTCCATTTCTTTCTATGGTTGAATGGTTTCACACGTACAGTTGCTCCAAGTGGAAGATCCTTGAGCTTCCTTGTATTTCTGTTGAAATACTTCTCCTGTCGTCTCTGGTTTGAATTGAGTTTCTCGACATCAGGTCCTGAGTCACGATCAGGCATCAACAGCTGAGTTGTGGTGGGTAGGAGTGTACGTGTTCGTCTACCCATGAACCTTTGCGCAGGACTGGTCTGGGTACCTTGAGTTGGTGTATTACGAACGTTGAGTAAGGCTAGATCAACGTTATCTCCAGTGTCCTTGCATTTGGTAAGCAGTCTTTTGGCAGTCTTAACAGCAGACTCTGCCTTGCCATTTGCCTTGCTGTTGTGAGGTGAGATGGTGTTATGCTTGATTCCCATCTCTTTGGCAAACTCAGCAAAGTCCCTTGAAGAGAAAGGAGGTCCATTGTCTGAGACAATGATCTCTGGCACTCCATAGCGTCCGATGTGACGTTTCAGTCGCTTGATAACTGCGGGGGCAGTCGTCCTCTGTAGCTTTTCTATCTCAAAGAACTTGGAGTAGTAACAGACCATAATGAGATAGTTCTCGTTATCATGATGGAAGAGATCGATTCCAATTCTTGACCATGGCCTGTCAGAGATAGGATGAGACATCAAAGGTTGGGCAGGTTGAGAGACTGAGTTTTCTTGACAGGTCCCGCATGTCTGGATCCACTCCTTTATCTCCTTGTTCATACCTGGCCAATAGACATATTCACGGGCTCTTCTCAAAGTTCCTTCGACTCCATTGTGGCCAATGTGTAACTCCTCCTTGATCTGTCGCCTCATCTGCTTAGGGATTACCAGCCGTTCTCCCTTGAAAATCAGATCATCAGTCACCGAAAGTTCATCTCTGAAACTGAAGTATGGAGTCAGTGACAAAGGAAGCTTTGTCTTGTTGTCTGGCCACCCATCAAGTATGGTGTCTTTGAGCTGGGAGAGAGTTGGATCTTGGGTAGTCTGTCTCTTTATCTCAGCTATCTTGTCATCAGGGAGAGACAAGAGTTTGACAGCATTCACCACCTCTAGATCATGCTGTCCGCTCTCATACGGAAGAGAAGCACGGCTTAGTGCATCAGCCAAGATGTTGTCCTTCCCTTTAAGGTATTTCACTTCAACATCATACGCCATGGCGCGTAGTAACATTCCTTGTAGGCGTTTGGGAGCTTTGTCCAGGGCCTTCTTCACAATGCACTCCAGTGGTTTGTGGTCACTATATACTGTTGTCTTACGACCAAAAGTGAACTGATTCCACTTTTCCAGTGCAAAGACTATTGCTAGCATCTCCTTCTCAATGACAGAGTATCTGGTCTCAGGATCACTCAGCATCCTACTGGCATATGCTATTGGTTGACCATCCTGTAGCATCACAGCACCTAACCCTGTAGCACTGGCATCAGTTTGGATTTGAAGTGGCTTGCTTTGGTTGTAGAACGCCAACACAGGAGCTTGTATCAGCATCTCTTTCAGCAACCTAAAGGCTTTGTCATGGTTGGAGTCCCAAGTCCACGCAGAGTTGTTGTGGGTTAAGTCATTGAGAGGCTTCATGACATCAGATAGTTTGGGCAGATACCTGGCCAAATAATTGACCATGCCACGTAAGCGATGGATGTCATCCTTGCAGGTTGGAGAACTCATGTTCAGGATTGCATCGATCTTGGATGGATCAGCTTTCAGTCCAGAGTTGGATACTATGTGGCCTAGGAACGAGATTTCCTTCAGTCGAAATTGGCATTTCTCCTTATTCAAGACTATGCCAACAGTTTGACATCTCTGTAGAAGACTCTGTAGTCGGGTATCATGCTCAGCATCACTGTTACCCCAGATTATGATGTCATCTGCCACACATCGTACCCCTTGAAGACCATCCAGTGCTAGATGAAGTCTCTTTTGGAAGATTTCGCTGCTAACCTTCAAGCCAAATGGTAGACGTTTCCATTTATACCTTCCCCATGGTGTTGCAAAGGTAGTTAGCAGACTTGAGTCGTCGTCAAGAACACAATGCAAATATCCATCTTTTAGATCACAGATGGAGAAGACCGTTGCATTGGACAGTTGAGGCAGGATATCATCGAGAACAGGCAGAGGATAATGTTCTCTTTTCAGCACGAGATTGAGTGGTCTAGGGTCTAAGCACACACGCACTTTACCAGATTTCTTCTGTACAACAGCCATCTGGCTTACCCAGTCAGTTGGAGAACTTACTTCCTCAATCAGGTCTCTTGTCTGCAGTGCATCAAGTTCATCCTTCACAATACTTCTCAAGGATTCTGGTATCACTCTAGCAGGACGAACACTAGGGGTAGCATCATCCATAACAGTCAGATGAACATCGTTCCCCGGCAGAGTACCAGTCACAGAGGATGAGAAGACCACAGGATACTCTTTGTGAAGATTCTCAGGAGCTAGGTTGCAGACATTCTCAGGAAATATGTTGTGGACTATTTCCATAGATTCGTAGTGAACAGTGATAAGCTGCATCTTCTCAGAAGCTGTTTTGCTTAGCAGTGGAGTCAGATCCTCCTTAACTATGACATAGTCAATCCTGTACTTTTTTCCAGTAGCTGGATTCCTTGTCACGACTTTGCACTTTCCCACAGCACGTAGTAGCGGAGAGTGGTTCCACATCCGGAGATGGATGCATTCATTTCTCACTACATCTTCTTCAGACAGAAACTTCTGTGGGAGAACACTCACTGTTGCTCCAGAGTCCAACTGGAACTGTACTCTTCGACCATTTAGTAGCATGTTGCAAAAAATTGGTCCATCTTCAGGACTTACTGTATTTATCTGTACAACACTGATACTTTCAGTGGAGGAGTACTCATCATCTTCGAGTTGGTGAACACTCTTGGAAGTACACACTGCAGATCCCTTGAAGTGATTGGGCTTATGGCACACATTGCACTTTTGACCCCATGCAGGGCAGCATTCCTTCTTCATTTCGTGTGATTTATTACAGAACTTGCACTTTTTGAGCTCTTTCGGCTTCTGCTTTACAAACTTCTGCTTTCCACTTCCAGTTTTAGCATGTTTAGGGAAAGGTTTTCGATTCACCCTGTTGATTTCCTCACTTTTCAACGCCTTCATGTGAGTAGACGTCGCTTCAACTGCTTTACAAACATCAATGGCAGTAGAGAGGTCAAGATCAGATTTGGAGATGAGTAGTTCTCGCATACGATCATCACGTACTCCCAGTAGAACACGATCAACGAGCAATTTGTCATTCATGCAGTCACAGAATCCACACGTCTTACTCATTGTACGCAGAGCTGTCACATACTGTTCAATAGATTCACCATCTTCCTGACTGCGTTGATTGAACTTGAATCTTTCAAAGAATTCTCTGCTCTCACCAAGAAAATGTTTATCAAACTTATCCAGTATCACAGAGCATTTCACACTTTCAGCGGCATTAGCAAACTTCATGCCGTTGTAGACACGCAGACAATCTTGTCCCACACTGTGCAGTAGTAGTGCAGTTTGGTACCGATCTGGTTGTTTGGAGAGGTTTGTGAGAATAGTGTAGTTGTCCCATTGCTGTCTCCAGATTTTCCACCCTTCAACTAGACCTACATTTCCCGCAGCCGCATGGAAATGACCAGGGGGTTGGACAGAAGGCTTTACGAAATGGGCCCCTTGCAAATCACCCTCAGTACCCTCAGGAGACACAGTGTCAGGCATGTTGTACACCACAGCAAACAATTCAGACAGAGATCTCGAATTTCAATGCTTTGCATGCAAGTAACACTACACAAACTTACATGAGCGGGGCTGACTATACGTTGAGTTGACTCTCAAAGTAAACAGGTGAATTCCAGTTCATAACACGGTATGCAGACGCATAATAGAGTTATAGGTGTATTACAAACACTTTCCTACATGGATTTACAAACTTTCACCGCTGTCATCATGTTTCAAGCTTAGTTCGATGGCATTTAATGTCAGACGACAAAGGATAGTACAGTCAGATTGGTATAGTAACGAGAGAGTGGCTTTTAATACCGATGGGGCCATCTGGCGCCCTCTTTTGATTGAAGCTTTACATGTGTTCTTCTAAAATCTCAGAAACAATATTGACACAGTTATTATGCAAGTGTGAAAGAACATCAGAGGAAAAATGTTCCCTGAAAAGCATGGCCCTTTAAACGCATTCATATTCTTAATATGACATGTAACAGCTTAAAAATGAGGACCTCATGTTTATGCCAAATGTTTGTGTAGTCCCATATATATCTTTCTGTGTACTGTGCTTGTTACTTTTACCAAGACTGGGCCAAAATTCTTACCATTTTGATGATTCCAGAACCTTGCAGTACACACCAATACTTATATGCTACATGATCAACTTTTTCTGATCGAGATCCACACTGTCTCTTTCACAATGCAATCGCATGACCAGTACTTAACTTTCTCTTTAAATGCATTTTGAAATGAAACTCGTACAAGATATTTTTCTCTGCAGCTTTGCATCATTTTAAAACATATTCAACTTTACAGATGGCGAGTATATCGGTTGCATTCCCCGGGGATGCGTGGACTATGATTACGATGTCGATGACGACGACAATCCTCCAACTCCCGACTCGTGCACGATATCGTGTGGAAACAATGGATATGTGTTGGCAGCCCTCTATAACCGCACGAAATGTTCCTGCGCCCAGGAAATAAGTTGTCTAAACGAACCATCCAACGATTGGAATTGTGGACTGCCTTGTTTTTCAGCTTTGAATAAATTATGTGGGGGCTACGTTGATGACAGTGTGTATAAAGGTAATATATCAACACAAAATTTAATGTTTTAAAAATCTCAATTTATCAGGAACGGTTTTTATTCGGAAAATGTTGATCCTACGATCCCGTAATGGTCCGATAATTGAAAATAATGACCATACAAAATAAATCATCGACATAAACACTGAATAAATATGAATATGAGGTTATTATTATCATCATCATTATTATTTGCATATTGAATTTCAACGCATTATATTGCTGAGCTAATGCGGTTTCTATCGTCTCTACTTTAATCGCTTATCAGAAAAGGTCCTGTTTAAAGATTAAGTTGAGTTGAGAATTGCAGGGCCCGCATTAAAGCCGTATTAATACTGATGTGGCTACCCTGGGTATTAAATAAGACATGATTGTTATTTTGTATTTATTTATTTATTTATTAAAAAATCTGTTCAGAAAGGTAGATCATATAGTACATAATTGTGCATTTGAAATTTTGAAATCATAAAAATGATAAAAGGTAATAACTGAGTGTTGTCTTGACCTTTTGCATTACATTTCTCAGTTGCGAAAGACGTCATTAATCATAACACTACAGTCACTCTGGTGAAGGCATCGAACAATGGTGAGTCTGGATAATTTACTTCTGCAAACCAACCTGAGTATCAAAGGCGTTCGGGGCAATGGGGGCTAGTAGGGAAGGGTTCACCCCCTGAAAACGTTGACATTATCCAGGCAGCGAAGTGACTTTTGACAACTTTGATATCCTATCTTAATTTTTATTATGATAGAATTGCTTTGAACGCGATAGCTAATAGTTTTTTAGAGAATTTAACAGCAACATTAATAACCATGTGTTATTGTAATACCAGTAAATATCATGTTCGGATTACGTAATACCTCATTGCATTATTTGCAGATTTTAAAAGGTGATGGAGAGGCCCATTGAAATGTACCTATTAAAGGTTGATTTGTTGCAAGTCCTTTACGAACGTGTCATTATTTCCATTGTCAAAATTTAGTAACTATAATATCGGAATATCTCTTCGATAAATGTATATATATATATGAAAATTAACAAAAAAAATGAAAACAATTTTAACAGCCAGACGCATGCAGAAGGCGTCAACATTCGGAACCAAACGTCCGAAACAACGGCATTAAAAGATATATTTCATACACCAGGCGCGTACGCAGGGGGGGGGGGGGGGCTTAGGGGGGAAATGATTATTCCTTCGGGGGAGCAAAACAGAAGAAAAAAAAAAATTAGTTCTCTCACTACCCCCCCCCCCCCCGCCCATACTGAGCGAAATATTGGTCGGCGCGATTTCCCAATTTTCAAACACCCTTCTTGAAAAAATCCTGCATACGCCACTGTCATACACTGATTCTGTAATCTGAGTAGAAGTTATTGAGAATAGAAAGTTGAAATATTAGGCGGGAAATAGTTTCTATACACTTCAGAGTGGTTTTTCTCCATCGAAATGTGTGTTCACGCGACATGTTATGCGATCGGCAATATATATATATCTATTATAATGATGATGATGATGATGATAATGATGAGAATGATGATTGTGGTGGTTGTGGTGGTGGTAGTGGTGGTGGTGGTGATGGTGGTGGTGGTGGTGGTGGTGGTGGTGATGGTGGTGGTGGTGGTGGTGGAGGTTCCGGGGGGCATGTGTGCCCCTTGCCCCTGCATGCCTCCCCGAATCCATCACTGTAAATACAAGACAATGTGTTTTTCTTTCTGTTTTCTTTGCTTGTACAAAAATGAAAGTAGGATTTGAAATAGAACGATCTAGCAATGATAATTTATTATTATTATGGTTGTTTTAAAATCCAACCTTAGTGTTATGAAAAGTTCATCTCTATGTCTGTATAGAGCATTTATTATTTTTAGAGTGGTCTTACTCAGTCTAAATTAGTTTCAGATTACAAATGGTTTCGTGTCGAGTATGCGTTATTACTTAATTATCTCATTGACGTCTATCAAATAGATGGTACCATCCTGGCCCAGTGCCTCACATCTTAAGCAATGCAATATTTCCAATTATTTTCTGTTCTCACGTGACATGTATTTATGAATACCGGTATCCATCAATCTTTTTCTTCAGATTTCGCACGCATTGTCTATAGTCGTTTATATTGTACTAGTTTCATATCAAATGCAAGTTAATAACATCATTGAACAAACCTGGTTAATTATATATAAACATTATTACGAAGTCGAGTTTCACTTCATCCTGTGGTATTATCATGAGTAGCACTTTCCTTTTTGAAGAATGTTATAGTTCTGATCATTTTCCTTTTACATGAGACTGTTCAACGTTTTTTGTTGTTGAATATTTCCTTTTTCAATATGAAAATTTCGTTGGTATGCCTCTTGTTCTGCCATGCATTGCTTTTGCGCCGTTCTGGTGCAAATGGAACTACTATATCAACGGCATCGGGGAATACTGAGAAACAGCTAACAGGTGAGAAATTTTGCTTTCGAATATCATATATATATGAATTACTTGTAAACCATCGGTAACTAGCAATTTGAGCTCGTTGATTCAAGAGGAAAAATCATAAGGTGATGATAGGATCAACAAGAGACTCATAGATCTAATTTTGAAATAGATTTGTACGTTTACCTTTACGACTTTGAAGCATTTACATGGTAACTTTAAATTAATACATACTAACATAATCAGGCCTATTTAGACTTTTTTTTAAATTCTCTCGAACGTTTCTTTGTCGTAGTTCCTATCGAAATAAAACGCGAACATCTGGCGACTTTGGACTTAAAAGTAAGAATCGTCTGCAAAAAAAAAAACGTCCGTTGCTGATTTCGCTCAATGTTCACCCCCCCCCCCCCCCCCCTCTTTGTATTTATTCATATTCATTTCATCTTGTGTTATGTTTTTGTTATCTTTTGTTAGAGATTGTGTTTAAACTTCATGGTTGTTTTCACTCATACTTTGTTTTTTATTGGTTACTTTTTCTCGTGCTTGGGTGGACATCCTCTGTCCTCGACACCCTTCCAAATGTCTTCGTATTTTCCCCGTTTTTGTTCCAGGTGGTGTTTATATCGGTTGCTTTCCTAATACCTGCATCCAATTCAATTACCATGTCGATGTCCAGGGCAATCGGACAACGCCCGACTTTTGCACGACATCGTGTAAAGATAATGGCTATATCTTCGCAGGCCTGTACAACCGTTCGAAATGCTCTTGTACGTGTGAGGAAACGTGTAACAAACAACCGGACGAGTCCAAATGCGGATTGCCTTGCCGGGCAGACCAGACTAAATTTTGTGGCAGTTACATTGCAGTTAGTTTGTATAATGGTGAGAAATTACACAGTTTTGTTAATACCTCTATCACTATCTTTCTGATTTTACCTTAGCACAATGTTTTGAAAGATTTAAATTATTATCATCGATGGTAGTCATGAAATAATTTGCAAGCAAACTTGGTTTTCCGCTTGGGTATTTTGCTTAAGTGAGACCGGTGTCTAAATCCATTTGGGCCTTCCAATCGCATGGGAAATAGATCTATCGTGTATATAGCTAGGGCATGAAACATTTCCACTAATAAATCTGATCACAACGTGCTTACGCGCATATTAATTATTTAGTTGCTATAAACGTTATTTCTATCAGGCCGAATGCAGAAAGATAAATAAAAAGACAATAATTGCTCAAATTAGGATTTCGCTTCAATCTTTGAAGAAAAAGAATCCTCATAACATCACCTGGCAAACTGGTTAGGCTATAAAGAGTGACGTGGTCGCGGGGCACCTGGACACAGCACTCCCTAATCAAATGGCCAAATAGAAAATAATATAAATGAGAATGTAAAAGAGGGAAAGAAAAAGAAAGGAAAGGGTGGCTGTGTTTTGTCGCATTCCATCTATCTTTCTAAAGTTGGATATTGCATTGTATTGGTTTATCGAGTTTGTTTGTTTAGTCATCGAACATGCAGCAGAGAGCTAATTTTGTTCAATGTACAGGTTTAACGGTTTAATGAGATATTTGCATATTGAAAAAAAAGAGACAAAATAGCAATCAATAGTTGAATATTGAAGTGAAAACATAAGCAACGACATTGTTTTGTTATCCTGATCTACGCCATTGTTTGCAAGTAAAAGAGATGGCGAAGAAAGATCTGTATACTGTATAATCATATTCGAAATGAAAACCATTCTTCTTATTAAAAGTTGTTTGAATTTTAGAAAAGTATTCGTTTACAGTTTTGTTATGTTATGTTGATAATAATCTCGATATATACTAATTTAAAGTATTTGAAATATTATTGTATTGAAGATCATGGACAACATTTCTATTTTCGTTTGTTTTCCTGTTTCTTTTCAGTTAACAGCAATTGCTCGGCAGTGAGTACGTCGACGACACAGCCGAAAGACGGTGAGCTCACAAACTTTAGATCATTACGTAGCTTCCGGCACTTGCGTAGTTACATGTGGAATAAGCGAGCCACCCCCATTGACATCCGGGAAAAATCAAGAAGAGGGACAAGAAACATTAAAGGACAATAATATGACCGCTTCCCTCAACCCCCTTCCCCTGCAATCGATTACCTTGTTTATTCTCAAAATTCCATCAAGTATAATAGGCCGGCTGTCGATCTAATGTCGATCTTAATGTTTATAATGGTTATGCGTGAAGAGGACAAATATTAATTATTTTCTTTATGCCTTCATTTTTTACTTTAATTGCCCCTCCCCTCTCCGAAACGATTTCTGTTAATTTTGTCAAACGGGAATTTTACACACGATCCTTACTGTCCCTTTGTAATATTTCATCGCCAGGTTCTCACGGCTTCATGCTAGAGCCTCTGAATATTATCTATTTCTCTTTCACTGGTGCCGCATTCGTTGTCGTCATCATTGTCGTCATCGTTCGGACAAGGCGAAGGTATTTGATTTTTTTTCTTTAATCGATCATTTATCAATTCGTACTTCCAGGATCAGCCATAGACCTTTTTGGTGTGGGTACTCACTGTATTTTACTAGAAGCTGAGAAAACCCAATGTTGATATTGTGTAAAAAAAAAAAATTAATCCATATTTCTAAAGGATAACTGAATCTCAAGTAACCACGGTAACCTCGACTGCTGTTGTCCAATTTAAAATCATAAGTGGTATCAACAAGCTTTGTCTGCCCGCTACCTTAATATACACATATGCACATACATGTAATCGATCGTGGTAAAAAAAAGGAGTCTATAAAAGTTCAACCGATCTTGGAAATATATTATATAAACGTGTCCCCCCGTGCCCCCCGTGGCTACCTGCCTGGAGGTAACGACTGCTCAAGTATTGGAAATGTCAAATGTATCGGGTGATGCAACCCCGCCCCCTCCCCCCTCATCCACCCCCCCCCCCCCCCTCGTATCGGGTTTAATTATGGACTTATATTTCCTGCACGATCGAAATAAATTTATTTTTATAACAGAGCTGTTTAAAGACCGAATGATATGATTATCTTTTTAATGCAAGTACTTTTATTGATTTTTATCAGGGGCCAACATGACTTCGACAGGGCCTTTCAACATCACATACAAAGCAATCGCACGGAGGGGACCATCCACTACACCACGCAGGACATGATTGATTACCCCTACGATTCCCTCATCAGGGGCCCCTTCCTCCTTCCCCCAGCTCAACGCCGAGATGCTCTTCCAATGACTGCCTGCGGTTTGGGATCGCACACCAATAGTCGACGTCGGAGGAGCTGCGATGCGGATGACGATCACTGGCATGACCACGGTGGCCGTTGTAACGATAGTGCACCATCTGGCTCCAACCTCTACTTCTCGATCATAGCCGAGGAGGATGAGAAGGAGGAGGAGGTGGAGGAGAAGGGCAAGGCCATGAAGGGGCAGGTTGGCGGAGGATGCTGCTCAACTCGAGCACCACCATCTTCTACTGACGGAGCGTATGCTTATGCAGACTGTCACGTCGGAAACAACGATTACCAAAGAGGGGTGGTCAAATCCATACCGAACGAAGACTATAAATAAGATTTGCATTGATTTCGTGATACAGTACATGGAGATTCAGAATATGAAGAATTGGATGTTAACTTTATCTGCGTACAATTTAAGATACAAGAGAGAGAGAGAGAGAGAGAGAGAGAGAGGCTAAAATCACTTATTATTATTTCAGTTGGGCTAGATTCATATCTTCCATTTAATGAAGACAGGCCAGCAACCCCCCCCCCCCCCTCCCCTCTTTTGCAGACTTAGAATGTGCTTTTACAAATCTTAACTAACATGGTCAAGGTACATGCCAATGTATGTCTTAGCTTGCAGGAAAACTGCTTATCGTTACAAAAAGGTACTTGCGTGTTTATGGCTACCTGTGAAAACCCAGATCACCTCCACCCCTTCTTTATATCAATGTCTGGATACCCCCACTAGATGCATTGCCTCGCCATTGTTACAATCTTTTCTCTGCACATTCCCTGTTTGATGTATACAGTTCATGAAACAGAAACCAAAACATTAATTGGATCATTACGACTAGCGATTTGTAGGTTCAAGAGACGATTGTTCATACTTCAAAAGCTCTCATGTCTTATAAAGTTACACTCTCGACATGAAAAACATCACGCCCTCAAATTTTTCACTTTCTTTCTAGAATATGACACTTGATAAATGATGAAATATGTATCAAGTGGTACAAAAAACATTTCCACGCAATGCAACTGCTCACGTAATTTATTTGATCAGTCATTATAACGGACGTGCTACGGTGTTCACGGTAATAATCAGTGTTACGGGTAATAATCATCATCTTCATAATATGAATATATTACATTGATGAAAGCAGTATGTTTATAAATCTATTTTAGAAGGGGTAAATAAAATCTAAAAAACGTCACTGCTAATAAGAGCAGCTAAGTAGAATAGCAGAAGATAGAAACCTGTGTTTTAACGTCCATTTCATTGTTGATCCAATGGCCTCCAAGCTATGGGTATACATGTATATAATATAGATATATAGATCAAATGCTCAAGGCACATAACACTAGTGCAAAAGATGAAACCACACATTCGAGGAAGTACTTGTGTAGTTTACTTATATTCATAAAAATAGTTTAATTGTATATTCATATCTGTTAAAGGTATTACAAAGTTTTGGTATGGGGTCATGAATTTGGTTCAAATTAACATATTGGAAGCATATGCGTTCCTACAATATTCATTGATCGTTGTCGCGGTTGAAATTGAGTCTAAAGTTATGAAATAATAAATAATAAACTCTTTATGTTGTATAGCTCCCTCTCAAGGTCAAGATATTAATTTAGCTATGAAACAATGTTTCTTGACTAAAATCAACCGATTAGCTATTTCCGTTTGGAAATTATATATCACAACTACATATTCTGAGATTTTCATGGTCGCAGCTACCATTGTACGGCCATAGGCGCTATTTGAAATTCATCAAAATTTACCGGGAGCACCGGTAAATTTTTATATTTAATTTTTCTCGAAAACAGAAGTGTTTTAGGGGCTAATTTTTTTAGTGCTTATAATTCATCCCCAGGGGCATCCAAATATATCAACATTGTAAAGATTCACTATCCACCCAATTTTCAAAATTTCCCAAAACTTTGTATTACCTTTAAAGACTGAGGGGGGAAAGAATTAGCATCCAGGAAATATTACAGAAAAAAAAAACATAACTGAAAACACGGGAAGGCAACTTTCATGATAACTCTACTCGTGGAACTCCAGAGTATAGTAGCCTTGAATAAATGTTTACTTGGGTAGAAATTCAAAATAACAAAACTCCACGTATTTTCCCGAACCATGTGAAAAAGAATCTTGCCTCGTGTACAGTTTTTTGGTTGACTTTTCATCACCTACTTTTGCATTGGAGTGTAGGCCTTCATTTAAAGACTGCTTGCATTTGTCAGTTTGTGTGAGACCAATATGTTAGTTATCTTTTGATGAGACAATGGAAGAAAAAGATATGTAATTCTCTTTTCTACTTTTGCATGTTTTTAACTTACAATGTTACTACGCAGTCATTGTGCTTACTATACAAATGTATTTTGTTTGTGAGTGTGAGTGATTTTCTTTCTTCAGAAATAGAATGTCCTTTTTCATGCGGTTTCAAAGTCATAATAGAGACATGACGGTGTATTTTGTCCGGAAACTTAAACGTGCAGCGAGAAGGCGACTTCTCGTGAGTTTTAATAAGTCACCTTCTCTTGTTTTCGACTTCAACAAGGCGCCTTGGTAAGTTTTAACGACTCGTCTTCTCGCCTCTCCGTCTTAAACATGGCGTCTTTGCCTTCTCACTCCATGTTTAAGCTTCCGTTCTTTTGCGCATTATGTGTATAATTATCAATGTTTGACGTGAACAGAGGGAAAATATTTACATCCATTGCAATGTTGTTTTATTTAAATAAAACTATAAACTCAATAAATGCATTATGTATGTAAATAAATGGTGTTGTGATGCGTGATTTCTTGAATTTCATCTGTGAATTCAGCATTTGCGAATGAGGATTTTGATCCATTTCTTGATATTGAAAGAAACAAACTGTGATTATACCCTGTGTGTTCCAATTCATGTGTTCACGTAAAAATGAACGAATACAGTTAATGAAGTCACATTTTCCAGTGAGGCTAATACCTCATTAAGTTTCATTGAGAATCGCATGAATTTTTGACATTGATATATTGGTACAAACAACACTATCGAAACTAATTAAGATAAATTCAAATTACATAAGGCAGCCTTCAACTTAAGTGCGAAAATACATTATGGCGTACTTTGAAATCCGAATATGATTTTATTAGGATAAACAATAGGGTTTTGAAACCGCCATTGTGTTGATTTATTTTCAAAAAGTAGTTGCGATTGCCGTTAAATTCTTATGTAATTATACAAGATATATATGGCCTATATTGAATTCAAGATCCCTTGAAAATGAAACTTAAAGCGAATAATATGTTAAGCTAACAAGAGCACGCATCCATATAACCGTGTAATATATGACTTTAAAACTAGATTTTTAGATTGTATATCATGTCGAGACTTGTATGGGTGCCAAGACTGAGACAATCGGAGGGGATTAAGTAAGTCTCGAAACAATGACTTTAAATTCGAGACAAAAATTGTCTTGCGAGACACCACATATACTGCCTATTTGGAGAGCCTAAGAGGTCGTAAGGCAAAAAGACAGACCTCTCGCCTAATGTATTTTTGTTTTTTTTTGGTCTCGTGGGCCGTCGTCGGTCTTATGGGCTGTCGGTCTCAAGGTCTGTCGGTCTACAGGGGTGACCCCCTTCCCATGATAAGTTAATTTAATATACATGATATTCCAGATTACGTCATCATCGTTTCATGAAAGTTGTTTAAAAAGATTATCCCAAGCTTGCTAGCTGGCTTTGCATAATTGCATAACGTTATGAATCTTTAGAATACCCCATTATGTTATCGATTTATACACGGGCGCCTATAACACTTGAGACTCTTAGATCGCAAGTAAAAATCTTTATAACGATTGCTGTCATGATTCTTGTGATACTTCAGTAAGGCAATTATTAGTAATCAGTAACCTTGACTAAGAATGAGTTTTTATAGATGTAATTAACATTAGCATACAATGCTAACATAGCATAGCATTTAATACAATTCATGATTAATGTCCCCTTTTACATGAACCACCAGATGATTTGGAAATAGATCAAAGTTGAAGATTTATTTCGTATTTCACGCTGCAATACATCACACTTATCTCCAGAATACTTCGGGATTCATAGCCCCCAGCATCGCACCCGCCAATCTAACAATTTCACATAGATTCTTTGTTTTCTTTTTTATAATGACACTTGCCTTTGCTATGTTTAAATTCCTAGATTTAACTTCATCAAGAACCCTAGAACAAGATGCAACTACATCCAGCACAGACGAGATTGGTTTGGTTGGTGTGCCAACCACGGTCATTTCTACCGCGGTTAAGCCTGACACGCCAACCGCAGTTATCTCTACAGTTAAACAGTTCGTTACGTCCGCATCAACATCACCGGAGTACGCAGTGCAAACCGAAGAAAAGATGATTGATTCCGGGTCAAAGGTGTTTTTCATCAGTGTTACGGTCAGTCCTTCTCTGGGTGCGATGGTCATTATTTTACTCGTGATTTTGATTCTGACGTGCGTGTTGTATAACAGACGAATCAGAAATTTGAGTTTGCAAAACGAGATAGTTCTGCAGACTATTAAACAATCCTGGGATCATTATCAGACCCTGAATACTCCATCTCATCATCCTGACGACGGTGGGCAGACAACATCATCAGCAAGTTTGGACGCCCTGCCATCGCCTCCATCCCGCGATCAAAGCCCTTATCGGAAAGATGAGCATGCCGGGCCTTCCGATACCGTGGTTGATGTCGACGATGATAGCGACCCCCCGTACGTTGATATGAGATCTCTACGTCGAGGCGATTCTACGAAACGCAATATCGATGATGATGATGATGATAATGATGATGATGACGGTGGTGGCGTGTACGTGAATTTCCCGCTTGTGTAGATCACTGATTTGATATTGGATAGGAACAGAAAGAAACACTAACATACACGGTCCAGAGACTTTCGAAAAATCACCCCAGGGTAATTTTAATGGCCTTGACGGTTCATCGCGTACTACGAGGTCCGAACATAGTCCAAAACTGATTTATATGGGATATGCAAAATGAACATTTGACCAACGCATGCCAGATAATAAACAACACAGGACATTTCTTAAGGACTTAACTTACTCTGCACTGTGATGAATAAGTATGTAATAATTTTAAAGACTTAAACAAGCATAAGTCTCTAGACTATGATTTGGAAACAAAATATTTCTTCGATTACAAAATAGATATAATGACTAGGCAAATCAGAACATAAAGTCATGAGTTACAGGCAGAATAGATGATTTTAAAGGATTTCATGCCGATCCCTATTGCCTTTAAATTTATCTTTAATATTTTAGATTAATCCATAAGGCACTTGGTAAGAGGACGTTGCTCTACGAATTCACAGATCAAACTATCAAAAAATTAATGATGTGTAATAAAAGATTAATATATTATGTCTGTAGTGATTATGGATAAAAGGTGTATAATTATAGGATGACCTTGTTATTTAACAAATTGATGTTTTCCCAACTGACGATGTATACAATATTATTTAGGAAAAAATTGTATCAAAACGTTATATGTTCAATATTACACCTCTCTATTGTAGATGCTAGTTGTGTATAATTCATATTAAAAGGGAAGTTCGATGTCACTCACAGGACTGAAACAAAATAGCAATGAATTTAGAACATGATGGTAGCGACTTTCAAAAGCCAACCCCATGCAAATTTAATAGGTGATGCACACGGCTATTGATATTGTTGGTGTAGAGGTGTCGTGGTCGAGTGGTTATGTCACCGGACTGTCGAACACAAGGTCCGCAGTTCGAGTCCAGCCGCAGCACTAATATCCTTTAGCAAGACATTAATCTACATATGCCACACTCGACCCAGGTGAGGTAGTGGGTACCTGGTAGGACTATTCCAGACATATTGCATAAAGCAAACATGATTTGTATGGGCAGTAGGCATACAAAGGCATATAATATCTGAAAAGTCTTGCCATCGTGTTTGGGGTAAAAGAATAACAAATGAGACGTGTTTATAATCGTTGTTATATTACAATGCCAGTCTGCTATTGATGAGAACACTCCGCTTTATTACGTCATTCATCCCACAAAGAGGTGCTTGAACTAGTACTTTAGAAGCTCAAGAAGTGTCAAGACGAACAACAATTTGGCGTAATATTGCACTTGAGTAGACACATTTCCTTAATTACTCGCCATACTGCTGTCAAGTGTTAATTAACAATGGTGTGAAGAATTCGAATCCATATTGCTAGTATACTTGTACTTAAATTATCAGGAAGATTTGCATTACCCAGCTAATGAGACATCATTCATAACAATGAGCCCTGAGGCACACCACATGTAATTATTATGTAGGCCTATATAATGTTTAACGTTGTGTGTTTAGAACTTGAGTATAAAGGCTTATTCAAGTATTTAAACTGAAGACAGATGGATAGTTCCTACGTGATTTTTTTAAAAATTAATTTGTTATAAATTCATGTTTACATGATCGATATGGTGCCTGATACCTTAGTTTGTAAAGCAATTAAATTCATCAGAGATTGGAGAAATGTGTAAATGCCGGCTATTGAAAAGGGCGTGTGCAGAGGAGGGCGTAAGTTCATTCCCTAATCAAATGTAATGGTAAAACAAGAAAAGGAAGAGGGGGAGAGAGGGGGAGACACAGACACAGACACAGACACAGACACAGAGAGAGAGAGACAGAGAGAAAAGGGAGAGCGAGTGGAAAGAGAAAGAGAGAGACAGAGAGAGAAAGGGAAGAGGGGAATAGAGTGGAGAAAGAGAGAGAGAGAGAGAGAATGGGCAAAAAGCACTCTAGTATGTGTGTGTGTTTATTTTTAAGTGTGGGTGCGTGAATGCGTGTGTGGGGGTGTGTGTGTGTGTGTGTGCGCGTGTATGTGTGTTGGGAATGTGAGCGTGCGAGAGAGAGTCTTTAAAAGCCCCCACCGGTCACCCCCACTCCCTACAAAAGTGCTTGGTGATTCCCTACCCCTCCCCCTCCCCCTTCCACCACCGTTCATGATATTTTGTCCAAATATTCATATAGAAAGAGGAATTCACATCTAACGAAGATATACTTTACGATCATGCGCCTCCAACTATACTTCACGGATAATGTGTCTATTCACTAAATACAAATACTATAGTTGGATGCAAGCTTTGTCGAAAAGTATACCTATTATAAGGCCCTCTTGCGTCGATCTTTATTTTTTTGTTACTATATCGATATCATCTACCACTGTTGGTAGATGGTACACACACAATTAATTCAGTAACTGAAGATAATGACAAGAAGGTCGTGGAATGAACTATCGTACCATTCGTACGCCTCCGAGGGTTGCGACCTTATAGGCACAGACACCTGTTCGATAGCGCCTCAGTGGTATGTAACTGTCCGCCCACACCGGGCCGGGCCACCGAGTCGGCCCGGTACCGGTTGTTCTCTTGAGTCGATACAGGACACAGGACCACAAGCAGAAGTAGTCGCGACGGAGTAGGAGATGAGAGCGAAAGCCATGTTATTATGCATGTTTCACTAACAAGCATGAAGGTTATAATTGTGATTGAACGACCTGGATATCCTTGGTACCAAATTTAGGCTTTGGATGATGTTCCCAAGACCAGGTGAGTTTATGATAATTAATTGAGACCTAGCATTGCATGAAAACCCCTGACCTCAAAAGTCGCTCCAGCGCGCTCGCAACACAATTTCTACCACCTGCCACACGGTATGCGCTCGTCTCAGGGGTCGTCTGCTCCATTTTTGCCGTGATGTATTTTTCGTGCCAACTCGCGATCGATCTCGTTGTTGAATGACACGGCAAGATCAAGGCTCTTGCATCAGGACAAAATAGAGAGAGAGAAAAAAATGTTTTGTTCATTGGGATCAAGCGCGTCAACATAATCTGGTTTCAACAAGTCCCCTCTCACTATGAGGAGGAAAACAAATTTTCCAATTAATAAATTAAGACCAATCTTAGTTAAATCTACCCTGCCGACAGTGGTTAGGTACATTGTGTAAGATTTTCATGTGAATAATGCTATGGACACCTTCTTTATCTTCTCACTTTGCTTTGTTAACCTTATCTTTTCTGAATGTCCATACAGCTGACAATCCTTTGACACAAGAGCTAGGTCTGCCCAACTCTGACCATTCTTCTGACAACTTTTACCCAGGGCAGTAAAATTAGTATAAGATCACCCTCTTTTTAATTTGTCAGATTGTGTTTCCAGTATTGCAATCCATGCCACTAATTCCTATTCAATTTACTATCCAATTCACAGCGTGGAATCGAGTGAGAATAAATGCATCTTCCTATTGTTCCATGGCCGAGTCCATGTCCATGATTGTGATTAGTAGTATGCTGCCCTCATGTGCCATTAAGAGCTATCAGTCTTTAGAGTTCTGTGATGTACAGATCGAGAAGCCTACAGTACATATCAAGCCATATCCTTTTAAAGGTAAAATTATATTACTTTACTTTACAGCCAAAACCGACCTGCAGTTGATTATGGTGTCATCTGAAGTCAAGCTTTGAGGTTCATTTTGTCCAAGCTTAAGTTATACAAATATACAATCTTTACTGAGCTTTTGCACAGGGGATAGGGGACCTGATGTATTTAAAGTATACTTCTTTTATTTTATATCATACCACAGTGAAAAAAACAACCCAAAATGGCTTTTAAATTTTTTTTTTAGTTGTGACCACTTACTAAGGTATATTTGATGGTGTCTATTAAAGGTAATACAAAGTTTTGGTAAGGGGTCATGAATTTGGTTCAAATGAATATATTGGAAGCATATACGATCCTACAATATTCAGTGATCGTTGTCGCGGTTGAAATTGACTCTAAGGTTATGAAATTGTAAATAATAATCATTTTATGTTGAATAGCTCCCTCTCAAGGTCAAGATATTAATTAAGCTATAAAACAATGCTTATTGACTAAAATCGACCAATTAGCTATTGTTGTTCGGAAATTATATACCACAACTACATACTCTGAGATTTTCATGGTCGCAGCTACCATTGTACGGCCGTAGGAGCTATTTGAAATTTATCAAAATTTACCGGGAGCACCGGTAAATCTTTATATTCATTTTTTCTCGAAAGCAGAAGTGTTTTAGGGGCTAAAATTTCTGGTGTTTTTAATACATCCACAGGGGCATCCAAATATTTCAAAATTGTAAAGAATCACTATCCAACCTTTTTTTCAAAATTTCCCAAAACTTTGTAATACCTTTAATGACTATTATAATCGATGGCCATTCTGAGCCGCCTATTTGTTTTTTTTTGTTCCAATTCAATTTAGCATTGGTGACATTTTTTCAAGGATTTGACAAGCCATTTTCACAATGTGAAACAAAACCTAAATTTCTTGGCACATTCATTTCTATTTCATAATAATAAATGTCTGGAGATGTATAGAAACACTTTCCTGCTGTACAGTGGTGCTTATAAATATATAAAAGGGTGTTAAAATCAAGGTATTCTTTTAGAGGAACACACAACTTCAAATCTAATAGAAGTACCTATTCAATATTAATGATAATATGCCATTCTGCTATTTGAATCATCTAATGGAAGTAATGTTTACATTTGGACAGGTATTAACAACAAATCTAATAAAACAGTTCAGGGACCTGCAACCATTTTTAATTCAAACAAGAAAACACAGTTATAAATTCTTTGCCATTCATGATTATTAAACTAGACTATTTAATTTAATCTCCAAATCTCTCAGCCATGAACTGGACCCCCCCCCCCCCACCCCCTGTTTGTTCATATAGCCTTTTGTATGTACATTGTTTTAGATAATGTTTATTGATATTTCATTCAGTAATTAAAAAAAACCATTAAATATAATTAATTAAAAAAATATAGCTATTGTACATGTATTATGATAAAATAGGTGAGGTTAACCATCTCATATTTGGGTGAGAGATACAATTTATTTATTCATTGATGCCCCTGAGGCTGGGGAAGGCAAAGGAATGGAAACAGGTCAAGCTGACCCTTTAATGGTGAGAATGGGACCGCCCCCACCCCCAGGGCCCGTAGGCCAACTTGGCTACGCCAGCCTAGAAGAATGAAAGGCAAGCTCCGAGCGGGGACGAGGGATATAAACAAGCTAAAAGCCGCCCACAGGAGAGCTTTTACACCAGATAACCAATTATATTACCATTTACCAGCCAATGATACAAAAGAGTTAGGCCCCTACCAGTCAACCAGCACCAGCCAGCGATGCCGTGAAAACCCGGACAAGCCAGGAGCCAGTTAAAGATAAAGGTGAGTTCTGGTCATCCGATTGCAGGTGTGGATCGAATGGATCTGAAAAAGTTGATAAAAAAATACCTACTTCAAAATAAACTATGGGTCCTAATATGTAAAAAAAAAAAAAAAAAAAAAACAGCATGAGGAATGGACATTTCTGCATTGGAAGTGTGTCTATTGTGGTTGTAAGTTTCATTTTGATGAAATCCTTTTTATTGCTTGAAATCCCTTTTTTTGCCATCATTGTTCCTTTTTTTTGGTCGCACAAGGTTGGCAGCTCTGTACCTGTAGTAGGAATTACTTTGCAGTCTTCATTATATATACCAACAAATATTATTACTCTTCCACGGGGCCCCTAGTCTGTACCATGTAGCAATGTGAAGTCATATGAGAAGTCATGATAGATGTGCTGCATTGATAAGCATGCATAGAACATTAGGGGTACATGGCAAACTTAATATCAGGCTGATTAGTATCCAATCCATCAACAGCATATATGTATAGCCTTGTCACGAGTTGAAAAGATGAGATGTGTGGTAACCTAGTTGCTTATGATTAACCATGCTAATATTTAATTGGGGTTTTGGCAAGAAGGGCCTAGATGTTAACACATTGCCAACTGGAAGCGGGTGGCCCACGTATTAAGCCTATGGGAATATTAATAAAATCAGTATTCAACAAGTTAATTTGAAACCCTTAAGTTTCCTTCAAAGCCTTTTTCTCTTACAGTTTACTTGTACATCCAGGTTGAAATTGCAGATATTAGTTACATGAGCCAGTACCAACCTGCTTATGAATGCACAAGCGTGAATTGAATTGCAGTTGTTGGTTTGTTTTTAAAGGTGATTATCATGCAGTATTGAATATGTGTGGCTACATTGATTACCCAGCAGGGGCATTCATACGTGTATAGATTGTTTTGAATGGGGTGTGCCATTGGTCAGACTTTGCTGACAATTCGCTGACAAGTTCGGCAAAAATATTCCAGTGAGCAGAGAGAGAGGGAGAGAAAAAAAGAAGAGAAAGAGAAGGAAATATGGAGGGAGAGAGAGAGTGATGGAGGGGGAAGGGAGAGAGAAAGAAAGAGAGAGAGAGAGAGAGAGAGATAGAGAGAAAGACACACACACACACACACACAAAGTGAAAAAAAAAGTTACCTCAGATTTTCAAATTTGTCAAGGAAGCACAACTTGATATCCCAATGTTTGATGCACAATGGTAATGTGGAAGGGTTCCACAAGATTTTGAAATTGGCAGGAAAAATTCATGAATTTTTGCAACTTACAATCAGTACTTGAAAGGTTATATATGATTTTTTTCAATAATTAATATCATCTAGGTTGGCAGAAGGAGTCGAGTTGTATGCACTATAACCTGCTTAGTGGTTGGAGTGGGGAAACAACTGACACCCTCCAGAGACCAGCATAACCAAATACCAGGAACTGACTGGTGAGTTTTCTCTCTCAAACCTATCAACTAATAAGTCATGATTTTTCTTGAATTGTTTATCCTGTCAGATCTTTCTTACTTTATAATTTATTTAATATACTGTTTCAGTTTCTCCCCAGAATCTTTTTTTTCTTCATCATTATGGATGTTGTTTTTTATTTAAATTGTACCATTTTTTCATCTCTCACTCTCTTATCTCCACTACATCTCTGCAACTTCCCCCACATGTCCTTCAACCAACTCATATGACCAGCCGCATTCCACACATTTTTTTGTAAAAACTTTAATGTTACTTCCCTAAGGCATTTACTTTCATTGAACCGTTTATTTCTTCTTTAAAATTATCCTTTTTCATCATTTTGGATGCTGCTTTCACTTTATTTGCTCCATTTCCTCATCTCTCACGCCACCTCCGCCACACATCCATCAAACGAATCATACAATCAAATCACCCATCACACATTATTGCAATAACTTCCATACCCGTGAGCAATTTTAATTGACCTTGTTGGATAAAACGGCAGCCCCCCGCTGACAGCAATTACTGCAGACAAAAACATTGCAACAATTCTGAACGTCTGGATGTGCGGAGGCTCTCATTACGCACTGCCCTTTATATTAGCTGTCATTCAGAGGGCGCGTCCATATGCAATGTTATTCTAGAGTCTACTGATGCCTCAGGCCTCGTTCAGATAGCAGCAAAACCTCATCGTTTTTTTAATAATGACATAGAGCGTGTAATACACTTCACATTTCGGTATCTTATAACACAGAGGTATGTAAATACTTGCAAGTCCTTTGTTGTGTACAGTTATCATTCTTTTACAGGTAAAATAAAAACATGGCAATTTTTTTCACGGCGCTTTGTTGACTCATATCTGAGCGAGTCTTACTCAATCAGGGAAAGATGGATTGAGGGAATTTTTATTTTAAACAAGCCAAGGTATCACAACGAGGAAGTGAAGCATTGATTCTGAGAACTGTAGAACATGGACCTATGAGGATGGGATTAATGCTGTGGAGAGGAATCAGGCTTAGAATTATGATTAGTAGTAGGCTTGTGCTTAACCAATGTTTCCTAGACTCTAACAGCACATTATATAAACATACTTATATAAGCATAAAAACCACTAGGTGCAGTTAAGATTAACAAGGGTAATTTCTATTTGAACAAAAATCTGTGGATATGTAGAAAGAGGGCATGCTGTAGATGGTATACGTTATCAAAACAATTGGTTCATGAAACATAAAAATAGCTGTATAGACACAGTACTAGTGTAATTTTTCTTCCCTAGATGATAACATAAGTGGTTTATTTACCTGAGCATTATGCAGCCACTTCTGTGTGGTTAGAAGTTGGGCGAATAGAAAATGTAATTGATGTGGATTTTCATTAATGTACAATATGCATTCAGCCGTTGATGAAAGGATTAAAGTATGTTTATTCAGCATTGTGACTCACCAATAGATCATGGATCAATACATTTCCAATACAATGGAGCCAGGAGATAATAATATTCAATTTTTTTTCCTTCGTATTTATAAGGTATGTGTCAAATGAAAGCTTATGTTGCTGCTTTTGAATTGGACTTGTAAACTATAGTGGTTGTACATTGGGGAGGGGTTAAAGGTAAAGACCAGTTATGATCATGCGATTGCATTGTGAAAGAAACGTTGTGGAATCGATCAGAAAAGGTTGATCATCTAGCATCTAGCATCTGCAAGGTTCTGGAATCATCAAAATGATAAGAAATTTGGCCCATTCTTCATAAAGTTACAAGCACTATACACAGAAACATGTATATGGGACTACCCTATATTTTTTTTTTTCCCATATTTTTCCCTCCACAGGGATTTTATTGATTTTCATTTGAAACACATACAAAAATATATATTCAAGGTAATTTACATAATAACATGAATAAAATAAAATTGGCTTTTCAAGATACAAGTATTGTTGAGCTGTTGAGTTAACAGAAAACTAACAAATCAATAATTCATTTCTAACACTCATGGAAAGAAAAACAAGTACAGAAAAAATATCATTTTAAGTAAACAAATTCCTGAATTGAAACCATTTTCTTGTGAATTTATTATTTCTACAATTCGAATTTGCAATATATTTTTCGTTTTTGAAGTAATTTATAATCGAAACTCTAATACTATCAAAGTCGGGCAATTGTTTCTTTATTTTGCAAGTATACACCATCTGTCGCACCAGACTACCCTATATCTCTCACAGACCATGAGAGAAACAAATTTACCAAATATATGAATTAGTAGGCGGTTTCCCAGCAAATTTTTTATCATCATGTATTAGTCAAAACATATTCTTTCATATGATTGGTAATGAGAGCTTCCATTTCATTTTTTGAAATTGGGGCATTTCCAATACTGGCCTTTACCTTTAAGTAGCTTGTATTTATTGTTGTTTTTCTTGTTAGTCAGATATTCATTTATGCAGCACCCACTTGTACAGTCCTGTTTTATTCTATGACAAGGCTATCATGGATAAGACATTTTTTTTAAAAGAGTTTGGCGAATAGAAAATGTAATTAGTGTGGATTGTCTTGAATGTAGAAAATGCATTCAGCTGTTAATGAAAGGATTAATGTATGTATATCCGGCATAGTGACTCATCCATAGATCATCGATCAATACATTTCCAATACAATGGAGCTCGGAGATCACTTTTTGTCCTTTTTTTCTTCAGTACCAACCATTGGCATAAGTGTGGTCGAGGGTAGGGGGTGGGGGCATGGCACACCGGTATAGATACAAGAATTGCTTTCTCTTTAGGCTCCATCATATTTCTTCCTTTATACAACTTAGTCTTATGTATTATTCTTTTGTTTGTATAAACGCATCCAAAAATGAGTACAAAATGCCAAATGTAATGATGTATTAATTATACAACATGTGGAATATGAAAATAAACTGAAACTGAAACTGAAACTGAAAAAAAAAGAAAGAAAAAAGATAGCTCACTGAGCAAGGGTTCGACAATGGTACAATTAGAGATGCAGCAATGCATTCAAAGAGAGCAATTATGAAATCAACATAAACAGGTATTTCTCTTTTCTCTGTTTTGTTTTGCTTTTCTGTTTCTTTTCTTTTGCCCTCTAGATAGGGGAGGGGGAGGACAAGTTACATTTCCCCACCCCTTCGCAGTGTTTTGTACCACTACCAGCAATAGTCACTACATTGGACATTCACCAATTTTTGCTTTGTCCAACACTTTAAGCATGTAAGTTGCATCACCTCATGATTTTGTTATGTGCCAAAAGTCAGAATTAAGGGCATTGACTCATAACCTTGAGCATAGAACATTTTAGTTCTCTGCAGACAATGTACATACATGTCATGCATGACTCATTCATTTGTTAGTCTAACGGATCTGTTTATCTAATGGGGGTGTGCTAAAATATGTGTATACATTTTACAATTGTGTAAAAAGCCATTTTCATAAATATTTGATCACCATATTGATTTTAAATGAGTCACACTTCGAGTTACATATTTGTTTTTCTATAATTGGGAAGTGTAACAGAAATTTATGGCATTGAGAACTGAAGTATCCATTTGTATTGTTTGGGTTTTTATAAACAATTCTTCTGCTTCAAAGCTAGACAATTCTAAGTTTTATATAGTGTGAACATCACTCCTTTTTCATCATCTTAACAGCATTGCTGCATGCCTGTTAACAGATCCCTAATAAGTTTGAGGAGATGGAATTTGAGAACCTGAGAAAGATGATTCATTCAGCTCCATTTATTGCAATATCGTTTCAGCACCTCCACTAAGACGCCAGAAACGATGCTCACCCCTTCCCTGCAAGTGTTTACACTCATCAAGGGTCCCGGGTAATTGTCACGCGCGATCTGACGATTCCAAAGCGAATGTTTGTCTCTGTGTGGCGACATGGAAGAAAAGGAGGAGAAGGAGGAACAGGGATGAACAGGTAACCGATGTTTAACTTTGCAAAAACGCCAATAAAATGTTTGGTGAATGGCGTGTTGGATTCTTGAGCAAATATATGCACTTCATCGTAGATCTTGTCAGCTTCCTATCTACGGAGGTCTGTTGTCATTGTTCCTTCCCTGTAAGAAAGTAAGGCCTCATGAGGCCTGTTTTCATCAGCCCGGAGTTGCAATTAGCGGGATATTTGGTCGAGACAATCATCCCAAGATAGCTTGGGCTAGTTTGCAAAATATTCCGCTATTCGGCAAAATGTTCCGCTATTTATCTGGTGTGTCTTCACCAGCCCGAAGACTCGCACTATGTCTGAACGCTGAGCGAAATATCTTGAGCTAATTTCTTGAGTTTAAGTTTCAAGTTTCAAGGTAAAGTCTCAAGCTGATGAAGATCATTTCCCAAATCAGAAATAGCAGGCTATTTGACAATCTCGAGCTGATGAAAACAGGCCTATGGATATGACAGGACATTGATATGCAGAAAGGAAGTGTTTCATGTTGAGAGAGTGTGCCACGTTGAACAAAGGCTTTACTTGAAGATGAGATGATGAAGAATATGCTATATTTATTCTGCCTTTTGGCTGTTTCATTCTATATTGGATTTGATTATGCCTTGATTATGACAAAATTTCTGTACACACAGCAAATGCACCATTCCCAAAATATTTTAAAAAGAAAAAGAAGAGAAAACCAGAAGAGGTTGTGAAAGTGAGTTGAGGAAAAGGAGGAAGAAGAGGGGAGAGAAAAAGGGAAACGGAGAAAGAGAAAGAGGAAGAGAGAGAAAGAGAGAGAGAAAGTAAGAAGGAGGAGAGGGATGAACAGGTAACCGACGTTTAACTTGGCAAAAACGCCAATAAATTTGTTTGGTGAATGGCGTGTTGGATTCTTGAGCAAATATATGCACTTGAGCGTAGAGTTTGTCAGCTTCTTATCCACCAAGCCTTTTTGTCATTGTTCCTTCCTCATAAGAAAGTAAGGCGTCGTGGATATGACATGACATTGATATGCAGAAAGGAAGTGTTTCATGTTGGGAGAGTGCGCTCTGTTGAACAACAGGCCTTACTAGAGGATGAGATGATTACGAATATGCTACATTTATTCTGCCTGTTGGCCGGTGCATTTTATATTGCATTATGCCTTGGTTACAACAAAATCTCTGTACGCACATGCGGCAAATGCACCATTCCCAAAATAAAGAGAGAAAAGAATTTAGTGAGATGAGATGAGGAAAAAAAGAAAGAAAAGGGGGAAAGGAAAAGGGAGACACAGAGAAAGAGGAAGAGAGAGAGAGAGAGAGAGAGAGAGAAGGAGAGATTAAGAAGGAGGACATATTTTCAAATTGTGTTAAAACCTTGTTATAAAGTCTATGTGTATGATCAGAACCTATTGATGAGAAAGTAAAATGTGACTGTGCTGATTTAGTCGATTAGTGTACCAGACAAAAATCGCTTGACAAAGAAAACAAAAACAAAATCCAAATGACAATCAATTCAGATTATAGCTTGGAAAAAGGACTTTGTAGAGCTTAAAATGTACTGTTTCTTGCTAAAATCCTATAATATGAGAGGATCATAAATCTGAAACTGTATATGGACTCCATATGCTAGTGGATGTAATGATGTATCTCCATTCCCATGTGTCTTAAATGTATAGCTAAGAGAACTTTCATCTATACCAGAGATGATGTCAGGGATGTAACAGAGCGGTAAAATGATGTACAAAATTATGTAAAGAAAAAAAAACAGCTTTGAAGGCTGTTTGATATGCTTATTATTCCTTCCAAATACATAGCTCAGATTGAAAGACAGATTGAAAGACAGATAGAGGGGGTAGAGATAGAGAGAGATGGAAAGTGAAAGGGGAGAGGAAAGAGAGAGAGAGAGAGAGAAAGAAAGATAGACAGGGTGAATGAAATTTCATCCTGTTTTGTATAATTGCCATTTTCTCCTTTTCACTTGAAAAAAACAGGCATTATTGAATTTCAGCGAGTTAAGCATTATGACATCAGGACCCTGTGCAAACTTTCTGAGTTGTTATTCATAGGCCATGTAAAACACATCATCCAATATTGGATGTCCCATCGGGGGAAATGAAATCAGATTCTATCTGATTGCACTTTTAATCTACTGCTGAAATCTCTCAACTAATTTAGATGTCAGAGGTTACAGGGGGAGATATTAACGGCACCTTGGCGCGGGCCGACGTGTCAAAAAGTGAAGTGAGCCGAGGTCCCCTGGGACAGCAAGAGGAGGGAGATGGAGAAAGAGAGAGAGAGAGGGGGAGAGTTCACACTAAGCCTTGAGCAGACAGCGGAGATGTTGACAGCGATAGGCCTTGCCCGCGCTGCTACTGAATCGTAGTCACTGAACTGTGAGAGCCTCGGGTCGGCAGGCAACGCACGGTTAATCATTTGATGCGGTAGCGCTGCGAGTGTGCAGATGCATCTACTATCTGTGAATCAGCATAGTCATATACCAAGAACTGTGTCATGCATGTGTATTGAGGGCTAGAGATCTGTTTTGGATTTTAGGGTTTCGCTCCCCTACTGCATGCGGATGACAAGCTGTGTATACTCTTTCTTGTCAGGTTATTAATTTTCCCATCTCTCAGAGTCAAGTGGTGAACTTTTGGAGTCTCACCTTAAACTGTTTATACTGAGGATATTTATTGTTTGACAAGATGTAGGACCACCACGCAGTTTGCAAGGTATTTGCGTTGAAGACAAGACTTTTGTTGTTGTTTCTTGAATGACTTTTTGCCAAGTGGAAATATTTTGGAGATATCATTTCATGAAATGTGCTCTTGTTCTGAAGCAGGACATTAGCAAGGTAAGAGAAGAACTACTTTATTTTTGTATTGCACTTCTTGTGAAGGGAATTGAAAAAAAGCAGGGAATCTTCCTCGCAGGAGTTTTAGATGTTCAAAGCCAAGTAAGTTATAATCAATACCCTGAATGTGAATTAGCATGGTTAGAGAAGAAGGTCAGAGAGGGGCTAGAATAGAGGGAAAGAAAGGAAGACATATCTAGAGGGAAAGAGATGGAGGGAGAAAGAGAGAGAGAGAGATAGATGGAAAGAGAGAGAGAGAGAGAGACATAGAGAGAGAGAGAGTGGGAGTGGGAGAGAGAAAGAAAGAAAGGCAGACATATCTAGAGGGAAAGAGATGGAGGGAGAAAGAGAGAGATAGATGGAAAAAGAGAGAGAGAGAGGGACATGGAGAGAGAGAGAGTGGGAGAGAGAGAGAGAGAGAGAAAGAAAGGAAGACATATCTAGAGGGAAATCATCTTCATTAAGGTATGAAGTAATCATGACTTTTTTTTCAATGTTTTCATATCTAAGGATGATTGTATGGTTTTCATAACAAAGAGGGCAAATCTAACCTTGGTTTAGAAGAGAGAAAAATAAATGCACTACACAAACAATCTTCCTTCAAAACATAAATCATTAATTTGCTCTAGCTCTTACATGGTCTTTTGTTTTCAATCATTTATGCTGTCATTTTAATCAATCTAAAGAAGATATGAAAACACTAACAAATTATTGCAATGAATAGAGAGAGTAGCTAATGACCCAAGGTCAAGCAGAGATAAGAGAGTGGTCAAGGAAAGGAGAAAATAGTATAGATTTCAGACCTGAAAGTATTGGAAATTTGCCTAAAGAAGAAGATTAGATTTAAAGTGATGGAAAGGTCTAGCAGTGTCAAAACAAGTGGTAATTAATTAGGAATTTTGTTGTTTTCTGGTTGTTTTCTAATTCATGAACTTGTCAGCTCCAGTTCTTTGAATACTCTAATGAGAAAGGAAATGTGATCTTGATTTGGCCTGATAATGAGGAGGGTGAAAAGTATTGTTTTTAAACAATTTTTCAAAAATCAAGGAAAATGAGGGAGTTTAACCTTGTTATTAATCAAAAAATAAATAGGAGGAAACAGCGTAGAATAGTAAATCTTGTAACACAAGGGAAGAGGAGAATGGAAAGAAATAAGAAAAGAAGGAGGAGAAAGAAGAGGGGAATGAGAAAAGTGGGGGAAGTGGGGAGGAGCAGTGAGAAACAAGATGAGTAGAGGGTAAGAAGAAGAAGGAGATGAAGAAGGAGAGGAATACGGAATAGAGAAAGAAGACAAGTACAGGAAGAAGAAAAAGAACTTGTAAAGGAGGAGAAGAAAAAAGAGAAAAATTAGAATGAAGAACAGTGAGGAATTAGAAACAGTAGAGAAAGAAAAAAAAAGGATGATGAATGTATATTGAAAAGGAACAAGAATGATTTTGTTGTCAGACTGTTTTCTTTAAGAAAGAAAAGAATCCATGTAAAGCAAAAATATGTTTGTCAGCTTACGCTAGAGTGGATACTGTCCAAATATTAAGATAGATAGTACAATATTAGATTTAAATTGCCATGGGGGCAAAGAGGAAAAAAGGAATGATGTATGGATTAATTCAAGTAGAAAATATGGCCATGGGCATGCAAAATGAATGACCCTTCAAAAGATAAAATTCTTGTAGATAAGTCTTGATACACTGCAGACTAGAAAATAATGGAAAGTTGGAAGAAGGATAGAAGAGGGATCAAGAAATGGTGTTAGAGAGAGAGAGAGAGAGAGAGAGAGAGAGAGAGAGAGGGGGGGGGGGGGAGGGGGAAGATTGGGAAGGGAAAAGTCTCCATGGATAAATCCACTTGAACTTCTCAAACCTTCTTTATTTACACAATTTATTTTAAATTTTGTGAAATCAGAATTCATTTGAAAAGATTTAGAAAGCTTTGCCTTGTCATCCATCATTTGCATTTGTCTTGATGGCTTCCTCTCTTGAACCTTTTTAAAGATTCTTTGCTTTTTGTGTGTGATTCAAAAAGTAAATGCTGAATAATTCTATACAAAAATGTTTGAACAAAATAGTCTGAATGAGCACAGTAGCCATGTATGTGTTAGAAAATAAAGTCACTTCTTTTCTCTTATTTTCCTTGACACCAAAATGAAATTTTGAA